ATACCAACCATGAGATATATGTATGAAGCAATGGAGAAAAGTAAAGAAGTTATTATGAAGTCATTCAAAAATAATAAAAACAAATACAAAAATGTGTTTGCAATTATTGATAATAGATGGACTTGTGAGCTTCAATGTCCATTACATGCAGTTGGTCACATTTTAAACCTAGAGTTCTATTATGATAACCCTGAAATAGAATTTGATTTGGAAGTTACAAATGAGTTGTATGATTGTATCAAGAGGTTGGTGCCAAGTCAGGATGTGTAACAAAGCATACTGCTTGAATTACCAATTTATAAGAGTGGTGGTAGTCTCTTTGGGTCCGACTTTGGAAAATCACAAAGAAAAAATATTATTCCTGGTAATTCATCAAAATCTTCACCATGTTAATTTTAAGGTTATAATTCATCTTTAGAGTTATAATTTATCTTTCGTTTTATAGCTCAATGGTGGAGAATGTATGGACATTTAGCTCTACATTTGCAGTAACTAGTTATCAAAATTTTGAGCTTGACATGTAGTGCATCTGGCTGTAAACGCAACTGGAGTGTTTTTGAGCAAGTAATTTCTCATCTCTTAAGCCTACTAATAACTTCTAGAAATTAAAAAGAAACTAATTAATATTCTTTTAATCAAACTCATATTTTAGATTCATTCAAAGAAGAGGAATAGGCTTGATCATAAAAAATTACATGACTTGATTTATGTGAAATATAACCAACAACTCAAAGAATATTACAAACTTAAAAATGTAATTAATCCAATTACACTTAATGACATTGATAGTGTAATGAGTGGTTGGTTGTAGAAATGGATGATGATGCTCATGATGAGGATGCTAGAAATGAGTTAATTTTTTATGGTGATGACACTTTAAATTGGGCAACTGTTTATGAAGCTTCTAGAATTGGAGGGCCTACAACATATACTAGGCGTCATTCTAAGAAAAGAAAGAGTCCATCAAGTGGTATTACTATCAAAGTTGCAAAAGTTTCCAAGATCAAGACATGTTCAACAACAAAAGGAAAAGAGACAATGGTTCTTGAAGATGATGATGAAGAATTAGAAGATGAAGAGATGTCAGAAGAAACAAAAGATGAATTAGAAATTAATCTTCCACAATCCAAGGGAGAAGAGGAGGAGAGATATGCCTTGTTGAATGAGAAAGAGGATGATTATATTGGAGTTGAAGAAGATGACTAAATTGATAATATTTATTTTTATTGTTAACTTGACATTTGATAATTGCATATTTTGTATTGAATTATACTTTGGATTGTATATTATGCTACATATATTTTAAGTTAATTATTTTCTATCATTTTCTATGACCTATAGTATTTTTGTATATATTTTATTATATCCACCATAAACATGTCATAACCTGCCATAGCAGCCGCAATAACTTTATAGCAATTTTTTTGGTTTCCGCTATGAGCTGCCATCCGCCATTGATAACATTGGATCATCATAATCTTGCAAAACATGATTTCAATTTCTTATTAGATAGAATTAGAAAAAAATTGTCTATTTAGAAAATGAATTTGCTATCTCTTGCTAGTAGAGTCACTTTAGCCCAAACTAGACTTATGAGCATACCATCTTATATTATGCAATCTGCCTTGATTCCTCAGCCTATTTGCAATGAGGTTAATAGTATCTGTCGAAGATTCATTTTAGGCTCTTTCGGAAGTAAGAAGTGCCACTTTATTTGTTAGGGATAATTTCTCTAAGGGTCTGGGATGGATCATTAGGATGATCTCTTTACAAAATTTTGGGATGATAATTGGATTCCCAATCTCCAACCTTTATCTCGTCTTGCTTTACAGCCTATTCCTGATATAAATTTGAATGACCCTGTTTTTTATTATGCTTCTCAGGGTAATTGGAATTGAGATAGGATCAAGGCAATTCTCCTTGAGTCTATTTGTGATAGTATTGCCCATATTGATCTCCCTTGTGTGTTTAGGGGGTCTGAATTATTTTACTGGAATGGTACTAACAATGGAATATTTTCTATCAAATCTGCGTATAATTCCCTCTCAGCTTCTAGTCATACTGCTCTAATTGATAATAAAGTTTTTAAACTCATTTGGAATTGGCAAGGTTCCCACAGAATTATCCTTTTTCTTTGGAAAGTTGTCCATGATAGGCTTTTAACTAACTCAGAGAGATTCAATAGGAGTATATTCCCATCGGGTATTTGCTTTAGTTGCAATATTACTCCTAAATCAATTACTCATGTTCTTAGAGATTGTTGGTATGCTGAAGAGGTTTAAAATTACTTTATTTTGTCTTATAATTAGGCTTGTTTTTTTAGTCTAGGGCTTTCTCATTGGGTTGAGATGAACCTATCTAAATATGCTTTTAATAACTTTCCCTATTGAAGTCTTTTATTTGATGTTGTTATATGACATTTATGGAATAACATAAATTGTGGCATTTTCTAGAATTTTGCAATATTATCTGATGTTTTAATAAATAAAATCTTGTGTGGTTTTGAGATTTTTTATGGCTTGCAGTAGGAATAATTCTAGTACTGGTGCAATTTCCAAGAATTCCTAGATCCTAATTAAGTGGTCTCCCCCTTGCTAGTCAATTGAAGCCGAATGTGGATGGCTTTGTCTCAAATTTTGGTCTTACTGTTAGTTGCAGATGTTTAATTAGATATGCCAAAGAGAATTTTATGGCTGAGTTTCAGAGTAGCTTGGAGCCTTGCTCTCATTTAGAGGCTGAGATTTGGAGCATTTTTTTTTGGGGGAGGGGAGGGGAATAAAGCTAGCCTTGTTGAAGGGCATTGACATAATATGGATAGAAAATGACTCTAAAGAAGCCATTTCTCTAATTTTGGATATCCAAAAGTGTAATCATCTCCTAATCCCTTCGATAAATAGTATTAGATCTCTTATAAAAAGATATCAAGTTATTAGAGAGACTAAGCAAAGTGTTGATAGGCTTGCCAAAGTTGGATTAGAGGATTATTTGTCTTTTTCTTACTTTGATAGGGCTTCCTTTTTTATGTGGTCCTTCTTTAGTTTGGATGCTTGAGTTTCTTATTCTCTAGAGGAGCCAACTAGTTTTTCTTTATTGTGGTATTTAGGTTTTTAACCCCCTTTATTAAAAAAAAATTCTTTTATTATACCATCTTTTAACTTTTTATATTATAAATTATTTTACTTCAATATCAATACATTGGTTATTAATAAAAAATAATTAATATTTATATATGATAAATTAGTTACTGCTTAAAATTATATAATTTAAAATTTACGAATTAAAATTAGAGAGACAACATAAAATATTTTAATGATCTTTTATTTTATTTCTATTTTTTTGAATTTAAGATATTATTTTTAAGAGTCTTATCTCTTAATTTTGTAATTATTAATTTTTATTAATTATTAATATTTAAGTAAATTTTTTACACTGTACAGTTAAAATATAATTTTAAAATTAATTGATTTTATTAAGTCTTTATATTTTAATAATACTATTCATAGTATAAAATTAAATTAAAATATATTTTAAAAATATTATTAAAAAATATCCTTATACATATATAATTATTTAAAAAATGTATATTTATATTCTTTGATTTTTTTAATATATATATATATATATACACACACGTGGTGACTGCATTAATATTTGAGTGTAAATACATTAATAATGCTCCGGTTAAGCACGCTGTCTTTCTTATATCTTTTTATTATTTTTTAAGTCATGTCTTCATTTGAAAAATATAAACATTAATTGTTAAAGTTAATTTTGAATATAAATAAAAATAATAAACAAATTCTAGGAAAATGATTGAATATGTCAATTACAAAAATTTATAATGTTCTTTACCTAAAATACTCCTTTTAATTAAAAAGAGTTAAATTGCAGTGGTGAATTGTATATTTTTCAACTTCTCTGTGTTATCATTTCTTTTATCTAAAATAACTTTAAAATAATATAGTTTTAACACAATAATTTATAAAAAAAATTTATTTAGATCACAAATATCAGAGAAAATCATAGTTAAGGGGAGTAAGACTATTATGAGTGTCCAATAATTTATACTTTGATGTAATAAATATTTCAAAATAAGCTAAAATTTATACCCTAATAGAACAATGATAGGGCATTTTGGTCTATTTGGGACTTAAAAAAGTTAGCTGCAGTGGTTTTTGGAATGGAATGAAAATCTGATACATGTGGGAAAATTACGTATTACAACCGCTACCTATTCCTTCTGAGGGGTGGTTTGATATCTCAATGGATTTTATTTGGGGGTTATCGTAAGCACACAACATTCATCAATCTTTGTATGGACAACACTAAAATCATATGAATCGAGGGTTCAGACAGAGATTTGGTGTTGAAAAGACAAAAATCTAATCTCAAAAAGGCTCAAAATAGGATGAAACAACAAGCTAACAAAATGAGAAGTTATCACCCCAGTTTTATGGACCTTACAAAGTGATGGAGAATTCATGAGAGCTATTTTCTACACTGCAAAATGTTTTTCCAAATTTTCATCTTGAGGACAACGTTAGAGTTCTGGGGAGAGTATTAATAGCAATAATGTAAATAGACCCATAATAAAAAGGGTTTATACTAAGGCGGATTAGGGAAAATGGGCTTGTTAATAGTGGCCCAAATGATTTATTTATAGTGCAGCTATAAGATGTATAGAGGGTAGGAGAGAATTATTGGAATATTAGATTGCAAGAAACAGTCTTGCTTGGCAGAACTTCAATCTTTCTAGAATTATAATAAATTTTTACTTCAATTCTTGGTACTAGTCTATCAATATATATGTCCTTCAATACATATATATAATTTTTTTTAAAAAATGGTGGTATAGCAAACAAAGATTACTTCAATGCTCACAATTATTCTTTATCCTTATACACAACGAAACCAAAATTATGAAGCTGAACTAATGACAACATAAAGAAGCCATTCCTTCTAAGGAAATCTTAGTTGCCTTGTCACATTGCTGTTATTGACTACTTGAAAGTTACTCTGGTCTTTGTGGATGATGGGGAGTGATGGAGATGCAGATTTGTGTTGCTAGAGCTTGTTGGGCTAACATGTTTCAACACTCTCATTGGTTCTTCATTGGGAAGATTCCTTTCTTGTTGATCATTTGCAGATGATGCATCAAGAAGCATGTCAACTTTCACACATTCCTCTCTCTCCATCCTAATTTCTTTCATCATTGCTACAACATCTTTCATGGTTGGCCTGTCATCTGGGCTTGAGTTCACACACAGCAAAGCCACACCTAAGGTTTGCAACATTTCATCAATTTCTGGTTCTGGCCTAGCTCGCAAGCTTTCATCAAGCACATCAACTCTCCCTCTTTTGTGTCTTACCCAGTCTACAATGTGGAGTCCGTCAGGTATTGTTGGATCAATTGGTTGCTTCCCTGTTAGTACTTCTAATACAACAATTCCATAGCTATAGACATCACTCTTCTCTGTTATTTTCATCATGTATCCATACTCTTCAAATCCCAGCATGCAGAAAAAGTAGTATTGAATGCATGTTAGTATGCTTTCAGTTCTTATAAATATGATTAAATTTGGTTTTAGTCATCCAAAATATTTTTTGGTTGATTTTGTTTCACGTAAATTTTAGAATGTTTGAAAATGACCCATATTATCACTTATTTATGACGTGACATGCATCTAATTATATTATATTAATGATACGAGTGATAAAAGTAAAACAAAGTAAATACTGAAATTTGAAGTATTGGACTAGTAGTACTAACCAGGAGCTATGTAACCATATGAACCAGCAAGTGTACTAGAAGATCGAGCAAAATCTCCATCATCAACAAGCTTTGCAAGCCCAAAATCAGCTATATATGGTTCAAATTCAGGGCCTATGAGGATGTTGTTGGCTTTAATGTCCCTATGAACAATAGGAGGAGCACAGTCATGGTGCAAATAAGCCAAACCTTGAGCTGATCCTAGTATAATCCGGAATCTGATGTCCCATTCCAAGCAGTTTCCACTTCTTTCATGAAGTAGACTTCCAAGACTCCCATTTGGCATGTAATCATACATAAGCAATCTTGTGTTTCTGTTCCAACAGCAACCTAAGAACCTCACAATGTTCTTGTGGCGAATTGAACCAAGAGTTTTTACTTCAGCTGAAAAGGAATCACGAACCCCTCCATTAACTTCTAACTTGTCATTTTGGCTATCATATCTTGCAGCCATTGTTGTTGGCCATAGCCTTTTCACAGCAATGACATCCCCATTTTCCATTTGGGCGCGATAAACAATCCCTGAACACCCTTTTCCTATTACATTGGATTCCACCAAACACTTTAGAACTTGCTCCACAGTGAAATTTAACTTTTGAAATGGAGTGAATTGCCAAGGCATTGAATCCCCTCCCATCTCAGAATCATTGTCAGCTTGAATCATTTTCCTTGCTCGAAAGACGGTAACAACTCCAAAGATTGTCATTGCAACAGTAAAGGCACTGAGCAATCCAATGGCGACTTTGATTATCTCAGACCTCTTAGAATTAGTGCCATTCAGCATTTTTGTCATTGCAGCATTGCTAACAAAACATGAATCATGACCATTAGGACACAAACCTTGGTTTCCAGCCAAATCTGTTACTGATAGTTGGTGGAACAACTTGCTGTCTGGTAGATAGCCAGTGAATTTGTTGTAGGAAATGTTTAGAGAAACAAGATTTTCAAGCCCTGAAAATGCCATCAAGTCACCTTCAAGATTATTGTGTGAAAGATCTAGAACTGATAGCTTGGTCAGAGAAGAAATCTCTGGTGGGATTACTCCAGATAATGCATTGTGACTCAGATTTAAAGCAATATCAAGTGCTTCAATTTGGAGTAGTTCTGGTGGGATGCTCCCTGAGAACTTGTTGCTGCTAAGGTCTAGCAGTTGAAGACCTGAACATTGGCCAAGTGAGGAGGGAATTGGTCCTGAGAAAGAGTTTTTGCTTAGGATGACTCTAAGAAGTGAAGTGAGTTGACCTATACTCATTGGAATCTCACCAGAAAAGTTATTCAGAGAAACATCCAACACCTCTAGCCTTGTGAGGGAAGACAAATAACTAGGCAAAGCACCAGAAAGGGAGTTATTGCTAAGATTAAGCATTTGCAGTTCTTTACAGTTTCCAATTTCAAGTGGCACTGACCCAGTGAGATGGTTTTCAGACAGATCAAGGAAACTGAGATTGTTTAGGAAGCCGATTTCTCTTGGTATCTCCCCACTGATTCTGTTGTCGACAAGCCGGAGCCGAATGAGAGAAGTGCAGTTACCAATCTGAGGAGGGATGGGACCAGAAATATCATTAGAGATTAGCAAAAGCTTTGTTAAATTTTGAAGCTTGAACAGGCCTGGAGGTAAGCTATCAGTAAGTGCATTATATGACAAATCCAAAGCCTCAAGGCTTCTACAACCTCCCAATTCTGATGGAATGCCACCTTCAAGTTTGTTCTGCCAAGCAAAAAAGACTGTCAGCTTTGCCAACCTTCCAAGGTCAGGTGGAATTGAACCTGATAGTTGATTTGTATCCAACTGCAACTGTACAAGATTTGTGAGATTTGAAAGAGCTGGTGGTATTGAACCAGAAATGTTATTGTTACTCAGCATAAGCTCTTCAAGATTTAAGAGTTGTCCCAAACTTTGAGGTATTGTACCAGATAAAGAATTCAAGGACACATCAAGAATCTTCAAGCTTCTACAGTTGCCAATTTCCTCAGGTATGCTCCCAACAAAATTGTTTTGCCAAAGCAGCATCTTTTCCAGCTTCTCAAGTTTACCTATCTGTCTTGGCAGTGAACCAGAAAGATCATTCTCGTAGAGAAACAAGTTCACAAGCTCTGAACAGTTGCCTATTTCAGGAGGAATGTCACCAGAAAGCATAGTACTATAAACAGACATAGTCTGAAGCATGCTTAGCTTACCCAGTGAAGCAGGTAATGAACCTGAAATTTTAGTGTCAGCAAGACCCAACACTGTCAAATTCCTACATTCTCCAAGCTCATCGGGAATCTTCCCCTCAATGCCTTTGTTTCCTCCTGCTCTTATAACCTCAAGATTAGACAGTTTTCCCAGCTCAACAGGAAGATACCCACTAAGGTTGTTGTCAAAGATATCAAGGGTCTTGAGGTTGAAACAATCACCAAGCTCACTCGGAATTGGCCCAGTGAGCTGGTTAGAGTTCAAGCTCAAGCTTTGGAGCTTTTTGAGCTTCCCAATACTTGAAGGAATATCACCCACAAGACTGTTTGAGCTAAGATCAAGGACTATAAGCTCAGGGCAGTTCCCAATGTCAAGTGAGATAGCCCCAGTGAGGTTAGCCCCAGAAATGACCAACTTTTGAAGGAAGGGAAGGGAAGATATTTTGGAAGGAAAGGGAAGTGCCAACTCAACATTTTGAATATTTATCTCAGTGACATGGCTTGCTGAAGAGCATTTGATGAAAGACCATTTGCAAGGAGTAGAGTCCAAAGGGTTCAAGTTAGAAAAAGCAGAAGGAACTTTGGAGGAGCCATGCATCCATGAAACCAATGCACTAACTTCATCATTTGCAGCAAAGGAAAGAGGGACAAGAAGTGTAAACAAGAGAACATAGAGAAGGTGGTGGTGATGGTGATGGTTTGTGATGAAATATTGCCTCGACATTTGGTGGTGGTTGTTGTTGTTGTGGTTGCTCAAGGCTTGCCTCGGCATTGACATTGCCAATTCCCTCAAAAACTCAACCACAAGCATATCATATCATGTATTGGTTTTGCATTGGGTATCTCTCTATTTTATCTTTCTTGAACTTGCTATAGTGTGACACCATAGTAGCTACTAGACTTACTATTATACTTGCTTTGTAGTAAAGCAAGAAAAGGAGACAAGATATTTTTTATATGATTTTGGGGTGAACAAGCACCACCCCCTTTGCCTCGGGGTTCTGTTCTTTTGCCATATTTTTTCTGCCGCATTGAATTATGCATGCCTTGTTTGACACTAAACTAGCTCATACCCCATGTGTGTTGCATTGTTTTCCTCAACTTAGTCACTAATATGGCCTGCACCATTTATATATTAGTGTTGATAAACGAGCTCCTTTAATTTGAAAGGGTGATTGCACTACTATCTGGCATTTTGCTACTTGTTTTCAAAGTTTCATTCAAAGCAGATTCCCTGCCATTTTGAAGATTATTATTACAATTCCTTTGTAAGCATATGGGTCAACATAAAATATTGTCAAAAAAAGCTTATATAGTAGTTAGAATAATAGTAATTTTTTGTTCCATATTAGGATATTTTTCCTTTCTCATCCAAGTTATTTGGTCTCTTAATATTCTATATCAAGCTTCTTCTCCCCCCAAATGCTTTATGCTTGTGACGCAACTTGTATCGGATTGTTACCCTGTTCTTTCTGGATTTTGTTCCCCGCAGGAATTACAAGTTCATATATTATGTTCAATAATATAATAATTATGATAATGTGATTAGTAAAGTGAGTGTTTTAATTCATGTTTGAGTAGTCACGAATCTATATTTATTTTAACGCTATTAAGTGTAAATTTTGCGTTTAATTCATGTTACATATTTTTTTTGTCGTGTTTGAAAACAATGACCAAGTAAACAAAGTTAGCTAAGATTATATTTACATAAAATTTTATCTCAATAAATATCTTCAAATAATGGATACCAGAAAAATATCTTCAATTTGTTGTAAAAATTTATTATTGTAAAAAAAAGGGTACACAAAAATTAAATGAAATCTGAATCTTGAAGATGAATGATAACTGTTGAATCTTTTTAATTGCATAACAATTATTTCACCATTTTTATACTTTTTTATTTAAAAGAAATAGAGAAATACGTTGAAATGTGTGTCGTTTGTTCATTCATAATTTACAATTTTTTCACCATAAGTAAATTTAAAAATAAAATAAAAATCTCATAAAAATGTAGAAACTGAAAACATATTTAAACTTTATTTTTTATAAAGAAAATGAATTGCTAATTCATTTTTATTTCTTTATTAGATGATGTTTCTCTTTAAAATGCAATTAAGGAACACTCCATATGTAGTCAAAGATCTGCAAGAACCATGGGGCCATTTCTTTTCTTGAACACACAACAATCTATCATACATACGAACCTGTTGATTATTGCCAGTGGCACTTGTAATGGAATCCACTTTTGTTGGTGACATATTTAAGGTAGATTTTGATAAGTATTCCCCTCACCTTCTGCCCTTTTAACTTAATCATCAAATTTAGGATTCTGAAACAAGCAGCAATGGCCAAAATTATTAAGAAGCTGTAGGCAATGCTTGTGAACACAGTCTACAAGATGAGAATCAACCTTTTTTATTTTTTTTTCTAAAACCAATTCTAATTATTATAGGCAATGGTAACCATATGACTATACCTTTTATTCTTTTAACCAAAAGGGGATTTCATTTGAAGGCAAAATGTTAAAAAAGGGTCAGAGATTTAGTGGCTATGTTAGTGACCCATTTTGTCCCTACATGCCAAGAGAAAATGACTATGATGGAAGGACATTTACTAGTACGATCCTTTCAATTATTATCTTCTTCTACTTTCGTTTCAGAAGCAGTTGCCTAACATCTACTGTTCATTCTACCCTTCCAATTAACACCTGATGCTGACCTGACTCAAATTATCAATTTCTCGTTTATTAGCGTACGGTAGTTATGTGTCGGCCCTATGATGTTCTATGGTGCAATGGTACTTTAAAGTCATGGTAAATTGTATTTTACTTTATGGTTTATGTTTTTTTTTAATTTACTCTTCTTCTTTTTTTGCCAATAAATTTTATCATAGGGATAGAGTGATAAAAAAAAACTAATATTATAGGAATTAACTACGTGACATGGAAAAATATATGAAAAAATATAGAGGATAAATTTAAAGGGTGTGACACTATAAAAGGATGAAGTGTAACTTATCCTGGTAGAGCACATAAAATGAACTATTTAGTCTAATTTTAATTAACTTGATTTGGTTTTAATTTTTATGATGAGTGATTTTTTTAATTCATGTTAAGAAATAGAATAAAACCTAATTTAAACTCACATATTGTATTTAAAGAGATTGGATCACACCAAACTTATTTAACGGAAAGCTTAAATGAGTCAGACAACTAATTAGGTTCAAAAATTTAAAGCTTATACTCTTCTTTTTAGCTAGCATAATTAGAGTTCAAACCACTCCATTTTATTGTCTTTACCTTGTGAACAGACTAGCGATAACGTATAACAAAAAAGAAAAATATTATAATAATGTAAAGTGTGAATATTATGTGAGGAAAAAAAAAATGTGAACCTATTTGAATTGTTGTACAAGTACAATGAAAATTTAATGTCTATTGATTGGTTTTAGTGGTAACACATGCTATTTTTCTAAAAAGCATTTTTATTATATTACTGTTGTCACGACTCAATTGGATCTGTGACTAACGTATAAGGTAAATTTTATCTCTAAATACTATTTAATTTAAAAAGTCTATTAAAAAATTAACACAATACATGAAATTATAATTTTTTTTAAATAAGTAATATGATAAATTTATCAAAATTTTAGTAGGATTTTCTATGTAATTCTATTATTTTAAAATTAAGCTTGTTAAAATCAGTTTATAATTTAAACAGTCTAAAATATCTATAAGATTACCCATATAATATCTAATTTTGTAAAAATTACATAAAGTTTAAAATAAACCAAAGTCTAAAGGCAAAAAAATAAAAATAAAAATAAAGTCATTGAACAATGAAACTTATCAATGGATATTCTACTAAAATGAGATGATGTTTCTAGTAGTCTCTAACTCGTGTTAGCTAATGATATGAAAATAATAAATAATTAAGGAGGTGAATCACATAAATTCAATCAGAGTGTAATAATTGTAATGAAAAGAAAAGGACACAAATAATTTGTTATTATAGAACTTTTTTATTATAACACATCATTTTAAAACAAATTATTATAGCTATGCTTTCAAAAGTTTAGTCAAAATCAAAAGTTCATAAATTTATCCATTAGATAAAATATATATCATTTTAATAATTACTATAATAAAATATGCATATAATAAAAAAATTAAATAATAATGTTTTAAAATATTATAAAGGCAAATGTACGTATAATAATGTAAGAATCACTCATGAGAGAATTAAAATTTAAGACAATTCTACCTCATTGATAATCCTCTCATTTTAAGAGTGACTTCTCTTTAAGGAGTAGTTTAATTTAAGAAGTAGTCCTTTCCTTTCGTATATCATGTCATAATTCATTTTAATAGAAAAATTATACTTTGTTGTTGCTTTCTTCGTATACTAAAGGCTCCATCTATGATGTAGTTCACTCCTCCTAGAATATAACTAGGTGCACTTAGACATTTATTTTTATTAATGATTACAAGTTCTAACATAACTTCTCCCAAAAAAAAATATTTATATTGTAGAAAATTATTCTCATACATCAATCAAATTTATTCTCAATAATAAAAATCTTAATGTAAAGAGGTTTCATAATTAAATATTATTAAATAAATAATTACTTTTTTCACTTTACAAATAAAAGTAATGTAATTGAACAAAATATGTATTTCAAAGAACTTTCATATGATTAAAAAATAAATTTAAAACTTGTTTTCTTAAAAAATCAAATTTTTTAAGGTCATAACACATGGTAAATAATTAGAATGATTATTAAAAAAAAATGTCATTATAATCATTATTCATTCACAACAAAAGAATCACTAAATCATTTTCTAGAATTATTCGGTAACTACAAGACAACTAGTAACCAACAAATCTAGACATCATGAACAATCAACAAAGTTTTGAAAAATTATTTGAATTTAAAATTTTAAAATATACCTTTCTTACAAATAAAACATGTTAAGAATGAAATTTTCTTATATTTGAGATTTGTGAGCATCTCTTAAAAATTTAAATAGAATTTTTTTTTTCTACAATGAGTAATACCTCTTTCTTTTTAGAGCATTATTTTTAACTCTAAAAATTCATCCAAACTATTTATGTCAAAGAAAAAACAATAAATGAGTTACAAGAATGTATGAAATCTCAAAAGGATAAATAAAAGCAAGAAAAAAGATACGCACATGAAAGAATAGAAGGAAGAAAGGAAACTAGATTTGGAATGAGTATGAGATAGGGTAGTTTATCGAATTTTAGAAGTTAGTGAAAAAGATTGTGAGTGAGGGTTGCGTGAAGTGAGCAAGTGAAGTGAGCAAATGAATTTGTAGGTACTTTAGGTACTGGAGAAAGTGATGCAAGAAAAAGAAATAACGAGTTTGGACTCCTTTTCAATTCAATCCTTTTTCTTTTCTTTTTTAAGTGAAATAGCATGTTTCAACTATTCTTTAAGTAAACTTTGTTTCAACAATTCTTTATTCAAGTCAATTTCAAGAAAAAAATTAATAATTATATTACTTAAGATTATGGTAACATTATGTAATGTAATGTGGTTTTAAGGCATCAAAGCCTCAAGCCCAATGAAAACTTATAGAAAGATTAGCAATTGTGGCCAACAAAGCTTGGTTGATTGTAGTAATAGGATTTGGATAATGTTGATTGAATTTAAGGTGCCTCTACCACTTTGCATTACTCATCTTATGTCTTTCAGTGTGTTCTATTTTCAGTAGCAAAACTAAAGAGATATATTTAAACCTTTTATCTTACTCACATATAAGCAAATCATAATCTTTATTTAAACTATAAAACATTGCAATTACATGATTTTCAATTAATATTAGATCTTCCACGATAGTAGCAAGAGAATCCACATTTTCTTAAACTTTTGCTAGAAATTTCTTAGTACGTTTATGAATTTCTTTTACTTTTCTCCTGTTTCTCCTATAAAATGTATGTACTATATTATGAATTTTGCTATTGCATCTTTCATGGTAAACTAACAAATAGTTTTTAAATGAAGAAGGAAGGGATCTTAAAAAATTTAAAGCAAAATACACACTAACTCTAATTTTTTAAAAGGTTAATAATAGCTAGAGTTGTTAATATTAGTTATAGCTCACATCCCACCCCACATAAGTTATAACTCACTACACAACCCCATTTTTTAAAGCCTTGTATGTAATGAATTTATTTTAACATTGAATTCTAATGTATAAAAAAAATGGGTCAAGGAACTCCATTTTTTTAAGCCCTATATTTAATTAGCTTAGTTTAACCTTAAACTCTAATGTATAAAAAAAGATGGGCTAAGAAATCCTATTTTTTAAAATTCTATATGTAATAGACTTACTTTAACCTTAAGCTCTAATATGTAAAAAAGGATGGGCTAGGATTAGAGGTGAGTTAGCCCACCTTTCTTAGAGAGTAATTAATAAATAAAATTAACATTTTTATCTTTATAAAATAGTGCGCTTTGAAATAAATCTTTAAAAAAATTGTTAAGATTTAGTCACTTACATTTTTAAAATATTAGAATTTAATTCTCTTTTTTCTTCTCTCTCTCATTCCCCTTCTTTCTCTCTCTTCATTTCTCTCTTCTTTACTTAACATTTTTCCATAAAGTATAAAAACTTTGTTCATCTATCTTTTTCTATAGTATCCATCTAAAAGTTTTTTTAATAAAAAATATGTGTATTTATTTATTATTTTTATTCAATTATTTTATTTAAATTTAATTAAAATTATATTTAAAAATAAAAATTTTGATCAATTTTATCGAATTAAGTTATTTCACTTTAAAATAAATTTTATCAAAATTTTGATGAGTCAAATTTTAAATTTAATCCTATAAATTTTTTGGTCTGGACTTTTTGGCCTCGTGAATTTTTTTGGCTTTGACTCACGTGGATTAAAGCTCAATTTTTAACTAATTTATTTAACACCTCTAATAATAAGTTTTGCATTAAAATTTACTTTTGTTAGAGTCAGCCAATTATTTGCATGGACTGCAACAAATTATCCGCTGACACTAAAATATTTTTTAGCGTTTCTCAACTTTAACTTCAATTGCTCGATTCTGGCACAAGTCTGAAGAGCAAAAAAAACTCCTTAAGCCTCTACCATACTTGCTGTGAGGTGCTGCAACCAACTATTCGTGTGTGTAATGAACGAGGCATTGAAGCTAAGACATTATAGTAGTTGATTTAGTTCTGAATTTGATTAGGTAAAGCTAATACTTCCTGACTCTTGTTCATCTTTAGATTTGAACATAGGTGGAAAATGTTCTCACCAATCAGTCATTTGAGGAATTTCTATTCCTTGATGGTTGCTGAAGCTTCTGGCAGAAAAAGTGCTTTCTTTCTCATTAAATTTGAATGAATTAGGTTTGAGAACAAAAATTATTAAAGATAAGAACAAGCGTGAGAGACAAACTAAAACGAGTGATCGGGTAAACATCTACAAATATAAAAATGCTGATTCAATCACAAAGATTGCAATGCAGTAACATGCACATATGATGCTTGAGTGCTCTGCAAGCTGAGTTAAAATGGGTAGCAATTGAAATAGAAAATAAAAACTAGCATCCAGTTAACAGAGTTATTCAACTCTTAATTCAATGGACAACTAATGGTTAAGGATAAGCTTTTCGTTGAGAATTGTAAAATATAATTTTTTTTCATATATATCTTTGCACTTGTGTTTAATGATGATTATACATGCCCTTTTTCTCTTTAACAAGTATTAGAATCATATATATTTGGTTTATGAGGAAAATTGATTTTGACAATATTTATTTTAAGTTTTTATATATAGTTGAGATACATACCTAAGTTAACTCAAACCATATTTTTTTTTTATCAATTTTATTAACATTAACATTTAGTATTAAGTTTAAACAACTAATAATTTAAAGATTTTTTAATATATATATATATATATATATGTATATATAATATACTTATTATGATTAGTGACTTAATTCAAACATAAATATTAAAACTATTTTTTTAATTTTTATTAATAAAATATGTTTTTCATTAAAAAAAATAGAAGATTTAATTTTTAAACTCTATAACAAACAAGCCTCCCATACATACATGTTATGCAATTGCAAAGTGCCCATACAATAGTGTATAGCTAGAAAAAAAAATTTAGAAACAAATAATTAAGCACTCTCTTGCTAAGAGCTTAAAGGTCAAAATTTAGATATAATATTTAAGTGTTGTTCTTTAAAATTGGATTTTTATTTTGATAATATGCATAATAGAGGTTAACATTAAAAGTTAGCGTGCCAACATTCAGCATACTAATTTAATAAAACTTCAATTCTAATTCAATAACAAAAACTTTTCGAGCCTAAAATCCTTTAAGACCATAAATAATTTCATAATTCTCAAATAGAACTACACGTATGCCAAATAATAGAAGTGAGTGTTTATATTTTTTGTGTACATATGAAATTGATTATCATGCATGCTCCTTTATTATTTTAAAGATAACAGAATAAAATGAAAGTAAAACAATCTTAAAATTTTATTTTAATAAAAATTTATTTATAATTTTATGAAAGTTAGTTTATAAAATTATCATCTAATTTATATTATCTTTTTTCTGTCCATGTATAAACTATAAATTTTCAAAATGGGGCAGAATTTTATTTTTATTTTATTTCACCTGCTGTCATGAACAGCTGCTGGATACAACAAATGCTTGGGCTACAAAGCTAGTTGGGCCCAGGAAGCTGGAGCCCAACTTTGTGAGGCTGAGAACAAAGGGGCTACTGTGATGCTAATGCTTTTCTGCCTTCAGTTTGCACTTTGCTTTGTAGTACCAAAATCTCATTTCCTGTTCAATTCACACTGCACTTCTTCCACTATGTCTACCTGAAAGAAACCAACCACAACCTTCTTATTGGAAATAATCTAAGCTTTTTGCACAGTTAATATATTTGAAAAAAAAAGGAAAAAAAAATGTCTGCTTCACTTGTTGTTCACAACTTTTGTTCTCTTGCATCTTGCTTTCCAAATTGCACCCAAAACCGAACCGTGGCTCTTACACATCATCAATTTCATTCACCCAATTCCCTTTTGAAGTTAAAGAAGCAATCTTTCCTCTCAGACACTCACTTAAAGAGCTCCAGAACCCGGAAATCTCCCTCCACTTTTGTAGTTTTTGCAGTACAATCGAATTTTTTTAAAGGTTAGCCCAAATTTTTTGTATTAAATTACTTTAAATTTCATTATTTTTCATTTTTCGTATTTAGGTTGATGAGATTTCAGTTTTTTATGTTTAGAAAAGTTGAAGGGATGGTATATTCGTGTTTGGCGAGGGGTATCATGTAATGCATTGTAATTGTTTGCTCGTGTCAAGCTCTAGCTTTGATGTCAGAAAGTTTTTTGCAGAGGTTTGATGTGATTGTGTTAAGGTTCGATTTTTATTTTTTTTAAATAGTAATAATCTTAGTTAATTGTTCATTCAAAACGACAGGTTAACGGGTCTTCTTTGCCCAATATGTAGTTAAATTGGGTGACACTCTCTTGAATTTTCTCAATTGATTGTCCCATACTGCATGATCTTCAGGTTATTTTCTTTCACAGCAGCTATTTTAACAATAAACTAGACCTTTTACCCGATTACTTGATTTCCATGAGAGTTTATATTTCACAGAAAACCATTAAAGTTGGTAGAAGTGGTACCTTTGTTTTGTTTCGTGGTGTCTTGCATTAAATTACATTTAGGATGTTATGCACTTTTTACTTTATTTTATGCATATGCACAACAATGACAAAGTATGCAAGGATTACTGGATCTAGAATTAATCAAACTTCAAACTGTTAACTCTCAAGAAAAAGTTGATTTTTGGATACCTATGGCTAGTCAACTTATACTGGCATTGATGTTTGTTTGTATAATGGATGCATTTGTGCCATGCCTTGTGTGTGGCATGTCAAATTCCTGACGGAGGTGTAAATCTAGATTCAAAATTTATTCCTCAGATTTTCATGTCACTACCTGGATGACGTGATCCTTTCCTGATGGTGGCTGTATTTGATTAATCTTGGTACATGATGCATGCCATTAGTAATATCATGAGGGGTAATTAGCCTTAAGTATATGCATTCTTGATGGGCCTTCCTTTATTGAATTGAAAACACTATTTGATTAAGAATTGTTGCATGTTGAAAGTATCTTGTTATTTGTGTCGATACTCTGCCCTTCAGAAATGGGACCATTTAATTGTTGCCTAGCTGTTCTGTATCAACCCTGGCCATTTTATTTTGTCCAGTTTCTTTTGCAAGCTTTTTTGCTTCTCCAGAGTTTAAATGCCTAACTACTTCTCCTTCAACTATTACTTGATTATGAGATAGTTCTGCAAAATGCATGGAAAGCTGGTAGGGATGGAATTGAGGCAGGAACTAATCTGGTTCCTGTAAGTCAGAATTTCCCTTTTATACTTTAAATTTCCATTATTTATTTATTAATTGTAGATATTATCTTCAAATTTGTTACAAATCATAGAATATCTTCTTCCTTGTTTTTCATCTTTCTCTTTTCTTTTCTTTCCTGATACTAGAATTCTGTACCAAGACCAATAGCAAGGATTTCAGTAACTATTGTGGCTTTGAGCGTTACGCTTTTTGTACTCAAGGCTTTCCTCTCTACTGCTTTCTTTATATTGGTAAGTTATTCATTTTATTTTTTTTCATCACTATTATTTGAAAGCTTTGCATTACAAATTCTTCATAAGAAATGTGTTGTCATGCTCATGCATTATTATGAAGGCACATTTTCTTTACTACTGCTGCTGCGATATTTAGAGAGAGAGAAAGTTGATAACTTGATACAAAAATTGACAATTATAGGTTGCAATGTCAATTCCTTGATTCAATTGTGTCAAAATAAAGCTTGTCTAGTTTAATCATTTAGATCAAGGCTATATCATACACATCCACTAAGATGTGTATGTACATGTGGCTATGTTCCTGTTATCAAACTGCTAAGGTAGCTGTATCTAGTTATTGGAAACAATAGGGTTTCAATTGGAACCAGTTTGACTCTTGAAGTCACTCATGCAGTTTTGCACAGCTATATATGTTTCCTGTTAAAGTGAGCCATACTTGTATAGCTATATTCTGAGCCCTCCATAATATCTTTCATGAAGCAATGATTGCAATATAATCATATATTTTACCTGCTACCTATGTTCATTTTTGTTACTATTTGAGGAAAAAGATTAGATTTCTTACATTTTCCTCTTCCATGATTCCTTGTCTTGTCTTCCATTAAAAAATGTGATAATCAGTACACAACATAATTCAACATTTTGGTCAGTAACATAGTTCTCTTCTGTTGCGTCCAAGTCTATACATTGTCTTTTAAGATTAGCAGTTTTGACAATCATGTACTTGTCATACCAAGTTATTTCAAGGGAACTTGTACAAAGAAAAGTGGAAGTTCATTCCCCTTAAATGGGTTGAATTTTTTGTCTTTTAAAGAGCTTAATGCATGTTCACCAAAATAAAAAAGCTGAATGTATCCCAAATCCCAAATATGAAGATGGTTCTAAGCTTTTAACTTCCGTGCTATCTGCTATGGCTAATACAAGTAAATTGGTTTTTGATAGGCCACTATAGGACTTGTTTACTTCGCATACCTAGCATTCAATAAGGATCAAGGACCTAGCGGGAATGGAGGAACTACCTCAACTCCTATGGAGGATCCTGTGGAAGAAGCTAAAAAGATAATGGAAAAATACAAGTAGCAGCATCAAAGTAAGTTGTTCTGAACCACTCAATTTGTGTATTGTACATTTGTTCAATGTAAAGCTGTGATCCTGTGAGTAATAGTTAATTGAGATAGGAAATTTGATGCAATAGAATTGCCATCATTTATGTGAATGTATTGTCCTTTCCTAGATCATATTATAGCCTTCAAAGCGACCTCATTGCAAACGACATTTTCCAGTGCATAGATGTTAGTTAAAAGCATGTTTGGATTAGCCTCAGAATGAGGGAGAATTTGTTTTTCTTTCAACAATTTATCCGAGAAAGATTTTAGTCATAAACTATTTTGAACATAAAATAAGATCATGGAAACATACCTAAGGACACCTGGATAAATTACTTAATTAAAAGCCTAATTTAATAAATTTATTTCGGTATATTCTATTGTAAAGCTTATTGAAATATGCTAAAGCGCTGGTAGAAAAGTTACAAGTAGTTTAATCTAACATCTTCATTTTCATCTTACATGTTTTTATGGAAAATCTAGATAAGTTCGGTAGAAACTTTTCCAAATGCTTCCTTATCACCGTGAAATTAACTATGTTTCAGTATTTAACTTAAATTTCGTCCTATTAGAGTGCTCACATGGCTGTGAATAATTTATTGTTAAGTCTAAATGTTTTATTAAATAGAAAAGTTTCATTCCAAAGAAAAAAAAAGGATGATTTGATTATTGGTGCTAAGGTACGTGATTCAACAAAAACAAAATTGATTTGAAAAAGTTGTAATAATTGTATGTTTTAAAAAACAAACAATTAAATAAGTGTTTTTAATATTTTGTAGACGTTAATGTTAATAACTTAAAATAAATTAAAAAGCAATGTCAGAAATTACTTTTTTAAAACTTAATCAAACGAGCTTTAAAGGTGAGTTTTAAAACATTTGACAAAGCAGGCACATAGTAAATCAACCACTTATGTAATATTCAAACGTTATAAAACCGAATCAACTAATCCTCAAATATCTTCATGCCTAGCATTGTTGAAATATCTCCACAATATTATGATGCAAACCAACTTTTGCATTGACAAATTCGACCATGTTTTGACTACCATCATTATTCATTTTCAAGTCAATTACAAACGAGGATGAAACAACTCTATCAACACGACATTTGGTTAATTGAAACATGGAAGTCATTTAATGGATGCACATAATAAACAAGCAAGACCATAAATGGAGGAACTAGTACCATGAAACAATGGGCTATTTTATCACAAAAAGTTATCACTTTACTGGAACAGTAATCATCACCTTTTTCTGAAACCTTCACATAGCCATGACCTACTTTTCATTGCGATAAATTAATATTACTGCAAATTGCCAATGCAGATATTTGGATGAGTATCGATTACATTCATACCTAGAAATGAGACATCAACCAAGATATTACACTGTGCATTTTCGGATTTGTCTGTCGTAGAAATTTTTAAAAAATAAAATAAAATTATAAACTCTTTCTAATACCAAAATATGTTGATCTCTGCACACTATTTGTCTCCTTCAATTAGAAAAAAGTAGTTGATTGTGAGACATATTATATATATATATATATATATATATATATATATATATATATATATATATATAATTATTTTTCTAACGTCTGTTTAAAGTTGCAAAATAAAAATTTATTTATAAAAGTTTATAATTAAAAATTATAATATTTAATACATTAATAATATTGAATACGATAATTTTAAGAAAAACTTATTGTTTTTATCTTTTTATTATATATTCCTTAAATACACATTAAAAAGTGAGAGTAGTAAAGGCATTGGAATACAGGGTGAGATTGTTAGATTGGACAGGAAAAAATAAACCTTGTGAAAAATGCTAACACCAAGAAAATAAATTACTCTAACTAGAGGAACACCAATATATAATTATATCACATTAACAAACTCATTAGTTCATTAGGTCATGGGGACAGCAGAGAAGGGAGTATGTGGAAATTTTCTAAACATAGGATTCAAAAAAATGCATTAGTTGATAAGTGGTATAGATATAAAGGGGGGAGGAGGGGAGATTATAGGCCAGCAATAATGTTACTTGAGTAACATCTTTTGCAAGGATTTTGATTAAATTTCATTGAATATTTTGTTGTCTTATGTTAATAGATATATAAATTGTGTAATACGTGAAAGATTTGTAAAAGATGAGAATGATGTGTAGAGATTTGTTTTTACTAGGAACTAGATTAGTTTTATAAAGGTGATTGCTTATAAATACTTGGTCAGAAAATATAGAAATATGTTCATCAACAAGAATGAAGAAGGAAACGTGACATTACGTGAGAATATCGAAGAAAGTATTAAATATCAAATAATATATTTCTAAGCTTATTCATCGTAAACACAACTTTAATTTATAATTTATACTTCTATATTATAATTCTTAATCCGGAAAGTCATTAAACAACTCATCTTAATACGCAATATTTAGTTATTATATATATATATATATATATATATATGAATTAATCAAATATATAAATTACAAACTCTAACTCCTTCTCATCGTAATTTTTTTTTATTAAAGTCTACACTTTAATTACTAATTAACTATAGACACTCGAGATAAAATAAATTGACCAGTTAAATTAATTATTCAAATTACTTATGTACTTCGTTTGGATGATTGAATCATGAATTTAGTTTATTTTTAAAATGAACTAAATTATTATATAATAATTAATTTTAGACTAAAAAATTATTATATAATTCTAACATTTTTTTGTTTAAACAAAATCAATTACATAATTTTAATTAAAAATAGTTTTTAAAGTAACTTTTTAGTTAATGACTAATTTTATAATGTGGCCACGTTTAAAAACAAAAACACATGTCCATGATGTAATATTTAAAGACAACTTATTTAATTAATGTCAAATAACAATTAATTATATCTTTTATTGATATAGAACTTTCTATGATTACAAATATTATTAACTCCATCGACTAGTGGTGTAACAAGAAAATATCATGTTAATGTGATTCAAAAGTTAAATCATCATTTTTTTTAATGTAAATCCTTATAATTTTTCTCAAATGCCTAAAGTCAAATAAGTTATACAGCCTTTCAAAAAATTATAATATCTCAACTCTAAATGGCATTGACCACCAGCATAGTGATCCCAACAATGTTGAGCTCAATTTAATCATGATACCTCAACTCTAAATGACATCGACTACTAACATAATAGTTCCAATAACGTCGAGCTCAAAATTTGATTATGGTATCTCAACTCTAAATGACATTGATCATTAGTATAATGGTTCTAACGATATCAAGTTTAAAATTATAATTATGTTTAAAATTTAATAGTGTAAGTCTCAGACACAATGACTCTAATAACACTAGGTTATAAATTTGACTATTGATATAACAAATATACATGCATATACAAATATATATGATAAAAAAATATAGTATTCACTACTCAAAATAAAGAATACACATAAATCAAACTTAATCAAAGTTAAATTAAAAAAAATGACAAAAATAATGCATTAAAATACATAATAAGATAATATATAGCTTCAACCAATATAAGCAATTATAATGAGATGAGAATAATTACATATCTTTCTTTGGACAAAATGTGTAACCAAGATCACAACTAAGGTTAGAACGTCATGAGTTACTCAGTAAGCATACAATTGGTTCAAAAATATATATTTTTAGGACAAATAGATCTCCTAGATCAATGTACTTTCAATAATTTTATTTATAAATTTTTAAATAAGCACACTCCTTATTGTGTTTCAACTATTCATAAAACAATCATATTTCCTTCGTCTAGTTAAGAGAACTTGATTTAGCAGCTCTTTCCAAAGGATGCGAATGCAAATATACCTAAGAGCATGAGACAACTCTCTCTAAGGAACTTGATAAAAAAGCCTCGTAACTTCGAGAGAAGGGGTACCACCTCACAAAGTGAGTCGTAGTGACCATGCCTAGACAATTATTTACCAAAAACACAAGTTTTGGCAAAGTCATAAATAATGGAAGGTCAAGAAAGTTAATGACCTGATAACACGGGAGCTGACGACTAAAGTCCTGGTGAACAGCGGCCATAACTATAAGTGTCCTAACTCCTAAGGTAGCAAAATTCCTTGTCAGGTAAGTTTTAACCTGCATGAAAGGCGTAATGATCTAGGCACTGTCTCAAAGAGAAGCTTGGTGAAATAAACATCTAGGTTCAAAAATACATCTTCTTTGAATAAATAAATCTCTTAGACCAATGCACCTCTGATAGCCACATCGATAAATCAACTCTCAATTTAATTTGTTATTCAAAATCATATAATCATGTTCAAACTCAAATTTTAATAATTTGTGTATTTAATAATTAACCAAATAGATCGATTCTAAATCATATAAGATAAGCTCTTATACTAAATGTAAATAAAAAATTATTCACGTGAGATTATATGAAATTAAAATAATAAAAAAATAAAAAATATCAATAATATTATTTTAAGGTTACATATTGAAAACATAACTTTTATAATAAAAGTCGTGGTGTTTGAGCTTTGAATTCTACAAGAACTAACAAAGTAAAACTTATTATATAATTTACACTCATAATTCACAACTTTTAGTGGGATAAACTAAAGACAAACTAATGTGACTATTATGTTTAATGACTATAGAAAGAACCTAACCTATTATATAAATTATTAATTTTAGTTTCTTCCCATCATGCTTTCAATCAAGACCTACACTTCAATTCACACTAATAAATTATATATATTCAAGGTCAAATAAACGGATCACTTAAATTGATTATTAAGTTTACTAATACATTTCATCTAGATAATGGATTAGTCTGTTTTTATTAAAAATAAAATAAAAATTAATTTTAGTGTACAGAAAATTATTAGATAATTCTAAAATATTCTTCTATAAAATTCAATGATGTGTGATGCTAATCTCCTCAACATTTTGTTCACCGAATATGCACAATTTTCTTACTGGATGCATTAATTTTATTTAAAATATTGTGTCAAATTCATCTAAAACCCTTTTTCAATTCGTTTTCATCAACTAAATTATGAATAAATTACACAAATCTTATAATTAACAAAA